GTCATTTGGGAATATAGCACCTTAATCAACACAGCACCTCCTGCCCCATAAAATACTTTTTTGGGGACCAGCAGTTAACGTAATGGCTATGTCGCTGGACTCCCATGTAGTCAACCGCGGTTCGAGTCCTGGACCCGGTAGCTTAAACTCACACCGGGCGCGTGTGCATGTGTGCCCAAGATCCTGAGAGAATAGAGGAGAAGGGATTGCAGTGTGGCCATCCCCCCTGGGGGGGTGATTTCTCGCTTTCTGTCTCTCTGTCTCTCTCTCTGTCTGGTGAGCTCACGCGTCCTATAGCAATAACATAAAATAAAATAATAATAAAATACTTTTTTTAAAAAATAATTATTTATTGGGACCAGCAGATGCTGTAACAGTTATGTCACTGGACTCCCACATGGCTGACCACAGTTCAAGTCCCAGATTTGGCAGCTAAAAAAATCACAGCAGGCGTATGTGTGTGTGTGTGCCTTCTCTCAAGAGGAGAATGAAGAAGAGATTGTGATGTGGCCATCTCTCTTGGTGGAGTTGATTTCTTGCTTTCTTTCTCTCTGTTTCTCTGATGTGCACCCATGCCCTGTGGCAAAACCTCTCTCAAAAAAATTATTTATTTTTATTTGTTATCATTATTTTTTTCTAATTTGACCAGAGAGAGACAGAGAGGGAAAGTGAGAAAGTAAGCTGCCAGGCCTGAGACTCAAACCATGGTCAGCCATGTGGGAGTCCAGCACCTTAACCCGGATGTCACCTGCCAGCCCCAGATACTGTTCTTTTCATTTTAGCTGCATTATCTGTCACTCTTGGCTTCATCTGCCCATCTTTACCTCTCCCATTTTGAATTTCTTTAGACAGGAATTATGTTCTACGATTTTTTTTTTTGTGATTCTTCTATTACAACCCCCAATCCAGACCTGACTAAACCCCAGATGTGAGCTTTAATAAATATATGATTCATTACAGGAGTCTCAGAGAGCTTATCAATCATGCTTTTTGACAAAATGTTGGCTGCAGTTCAGGGCAGAGCCAGCTCCACATTCTGACCTTCACAGTCCTGGCCCCAGCTGGGACCAAATCCAGATGCTTTAATGAACCCTCTGGCACTGTCCTTATTTTCTCCCACACACTCCTGTAACACCAGCATTTATCACAGCCTCCATGAAGCAGTTCCTTGTTATCCGATAGAACAAGAGACAGCTCTCAGGGGCTGGTGGCGTGGTGATTGGTGGCGCTAGACTCCCACATGGCTGACTCTGGTTTGAGTCCAGACCTGGCAGGTTGCTTTCTCACTTGCCCTCTCTCCCTTCCTCTCTCTCTCCGTCCCTCTCTGGTGAAATGAAAATAAATAAATAAATAAAGTTAAATAAAATAATTCTTAAAAAAAAAAAACAGCTCTTTATCTT